TCGGAGAAATCAGAGTGGTAGCCTTTGTCCCGTAAGTAAGAGTTCCCTCTACCTGAGAGCTGAAAAAAAAACGTTTTCCACTATATTTAGAAAAACTAAGCTGTAGATAAAGGCAAGCATAGACCAAAAGGTCTGCCTCTCCCATAACCGAGGACCTTCTGCCTGGGATCATATCCGGTCCTACCCAGTAACCCCCTGTAAAACTTACCCATCAGAAAGACAAGACTCAAGGCAATGCTCTAAGAAGGCTTGAGAACCCATTTCCCCTCTAGTACCTGCTCAATTACTGGACAGCTTTAGTGCCCACTATTCCAGAACAAATTCCTGAAGGTCTCACTAGCACCCCAAAAGAAAGGAAAAGTACGAACAAGAGTTCCCACCTCTGCCGAGCTCGCAAGAATGTGCGGGGGGGGAAGGAAGTGTGAGCCACACGGTAGGAGACCAGAGACAGGCACCGGGCATTGCCTATTTACCTACTAAGGAACACACACGTGCAAGCGGAATGGCCGACACTGTCTTCTTCACTGCCACACCTCTCCTGACTATCCTAAGCTATGTGGCTCCCTTAGAATGGAAAGCCACAGGAAGTCAAGGAACCCTGAACCAGCCACAGGCACCATGCCCTTCACCCCAGTGGGAATCTTGTAAGGTCTGCCTTACTTTAGAAGCTGTAAAACCAAGACCCAAATGGCCAGTGGGCCAACAGAACTCACTGAGGCTACCCAGCCACCCCCTGCTTCCTCAACCATACCCCCTTTTTGTTTGAAGCAGAAAGCACACGGATTTGTTTAGCATTTTGATTCCTCCAGCTCTTTCCCTTCCTAATTTACTTCTGTTACTATTGTTTTCCTTCTTGGTATGTCCCCATCTTAGAACATGGGCAAATCATAAGTTTTATCAGGATGGCCGTAACAAAATTCGGTTCACTTGACCCTACAAAGCTTTGAATAAAGTGGAGCAGGACGTCACACCAACAGCCCACACAGAGGCTCCACACTTGGTACCCCTTTCTTAGCTGTCTGTGGAATACTAACGCCCCCTTTAGCAATCCATTTTCCGGACTGACAGTATGAGTCGGCCAATCATGAGGACCTGAGTCCCATCCCTAGGCCCTACATGGTAGTAGGAGAAAACGGACTCCTGAAAGTTGGCCTCTGACGTCCAAATGTGCACCATGGCACAGTGCGCCTACCCACTGACACACATACGCATACATAAATGGATACATGTGATTAAAGATTTTTTATTTTCAACATTTTTATTAAAAATATAAAACAGTGCAAAAACAAACTACGAGGCTCATTTCCCATTCTTGGGATAATACTTTCCCAACTGAGCAAGCATAGCGGGAAAGAAAATTTAGCCAAGAACTTTTCAGACATCCTATTTTAGTAAAGATAAAAATACCACAACAGTCACTGTATGGCTAGCACACAGCTGCAAGTCCCGGTGCTGTCTGGACTCTGAAGAAGTGGTGGGGGGCAGCGTGGGGGGAAAGGCTAAGCAGGTGCGGCAGACGTACGTCGGTGACGTCACTTCCGTTATCCTGCTGCTTCCTGATCCTCCCTTCCCCGCCTCAGCCTGACAGCAGCACAGATGCACCCGGTCTCTGGCTCCCATAAGCCGGCTGTTGTCCCCATGCTTGGCCTCCAGACTGTGACAACTAAGGACACTGCCAGGTGACCACACTGTTCTACCCCACCTCCCCTCCTTTTCTCTCGACAATCAGCACCTCAGGTCTCAGTGGCTTTGTTTTGCTGCATTGCTAACTCTTCAATGTGAGAAGTCTCTGGTTACTGCCAGGATAGAAGAAATGATGTCCAAAACACTACCCTTTCTGTGTGTGTGTGTGTGTGTGTGTGTGTGTGTGTGTGTGTGTGTGTACAATGAGTGCACTCCCTGAACAGGCCAGTAGAGGGCAGGGCACTGCATCCCCTGGGGAACAAGTTATATGGGACTAAATTACCTGATAGCAGGTGCTAGGAACCAAATGTAAATCCTCTACAAGAGCAGTAAGTGCTCTTAACAGCTGAACCATCTCTTCAGCCCACACCCAGCTCTTCTCTCCTCAAAGAAAAACAGAGCAATGGTCCTGCATGTTTCACTGGTGTGCTTCAACACAAAATGGTCCCACATCCTACCACAGACCCCCAAGCACGAAAGCCGCTCACGGTTCATACCCACAAGGCACTTACAATATAACATGGCCGATTTCCTAACATGTTTTCAAAAACATCAACACAGAAAAATGCACTCAGCACACGTACAGTGTGCCAGGCCGACCCTGATTGTCACAGCGTTCCCTGGACGGCCAGGTTTTCTGTGCTCTTGATGTGGATGGGACTCTGAGGAACAGGCCAGGTGGGAACCTGTGTGCTTTCACACAGAGATCATGAAGACACCCCGCACACCCTCAAGGAACTCAGTTAACATGATAACTGAAATAAAAGGCATTGCAACAGAAGCCAGACCAGACAAGCAGGTTTGCGCTGTTCTGCAGGGTTACAAGCTCCTTAGTCCAAGTCCTATATTTATGATCCTTTATCCCAACTTTATCAAACTGTATAAGATATGCGCTAAGTATAAATATACATTTGGGGGCATTCAGAAACTTGCTGGAGAATCAGCTAAGGGAGAAAAGTTGGCTGGCAGGAACCACTTTCCCAGACAGGCAAGAGAGCTTGAACGGGTTAGGTGCTTGCCTCTGCACAGGAAGACGGGAGCCAGACAGTCAAAGGAGAGACCGTGTTGTCCTCTGACATAGGCACAGCATGGTATGCACACATGCGTGAAAATACACACACACATACACTAAATGAATAATAAATCTAGAACGCCTTACTAATTGCATCAAACTTCTGTCCCAATCCCTTAATTTTGAGAGATCACCCCAAGCATGCCTGAGCTGCCTTTAAACTCAGCCTCCTTTAAACTTAGCCAACCTTCCGTACCACTATCGTGCCAACTAGATTGCCTGCTCAGGTACAAACGACACATTTCCTTCCCTCTCAAACCATACAGTCCTATGCAGGATGCCCAGAGTGTTTGCTGAGTTGGCTAATACTGACTTCAATCCCCAAATCCCAACAGCAGATGTGCCCTGTGAGGAGGAGGCTTTCCTGGACCACAGACATCCCGCCTCCTACAATCTGACGACTCCCTGTGTAAGCACAAATAAAAGCCATCAAGTTTCCGTGCCAATCATCAAGATGATAAGCTCATTCTTTTCAGGCAGCAAAAAAACATTAAAAACCTATTAAACGTTCTCTCAAGCTTGAGCAAACTAAACAGAAACTAAACACAACAGGGAAAACAACGAGGTTGTTGTTAATCACTCAGGACTGCAGAGCCAGCAAGAACCATCAACAAAACAGGAAGCTCTAATACACAGAGGGCAAGCACACACCAACTGTCCTGAGCTTTTAAAAGGGGTCATGTCTAATTTCTACAGAGCTGTTTTATTTCCCATCAAGAAAAGTCACTGGGCCAGGGAGATGGCTCAGTGGGGAAAAGTGCTTGCCTGGCAGGCTTGGTGATTTGAGTCCAATTCCCCAGAACCAAGTAAAAAGTCAGCTATGGCAGCGTGCACCTATAATCCCAGCACTCAGAGGGTGAGCTGAGAGCGGAGACAGAACTGCCTGGAGGCTCACAGGCTGTATTAGAGTAAGCAGTGCAAAAACAGAAACATCAATGCCTCAAAGAAGGTGGAGGTGAGGGCTGATTCCCAAAAGCTGTCCACAGACCCTCCCCCAACTCTCCCTGACACACACACACACACACACACACACACACACACACACACACACTTTAAAAAGCCACTACATTTAATAAAATTAACATCTCGACATTCATTCTTCCTGTCCAACTTAGCTCAGAGTGTCTGAGTGGCACATGTGACCAAGTGCATGCCCATTCAGGGGTGCTCCTCCTGGTTACTCACCATTCAGAGGAAACCTAAAGGATGCCAAGGGGTGAGTGCAGGCCACCACGGAGCCTACAGGTGAGATGTGCCCTCCCCCACCACAGAGACTACAGGTGAGATGTGCACCCCCCCACCACAGAGACTACAGGTGAGATGTGCCCTCCCCCACCACAGAGACTACAGGTGAGACATGCGATTCCCCTCCACCTCTAAAGTATTTTCAAGGAAACTCAGAGGCCAGGCGAGGGTGAGAAAACAGACAAGTCTGCCCAGCAGCATTTGGACAGACTTGCACCGAATGCTGAGCAAGATGGAATTTGATTCAGCTGGGTCAGAATCTCACCCATCATCAGCAAACCTCCTCTGCACAGTGTATGGAAAGTCTTTTAAAACCCCTGACCACTAACTACTATCCATAACAGAAAATCAGGGGATTAACTCTGAATGCCTTTTTAACTTTAGAAGAGGTTTTACTGCACAGGGCAACTTTTCTCACTTTGGTTCTCCGTAAGCCTGTTTGTCTCGATAATCAAAGGTATATTCCAAGTCATCACTGCATCACATATACATGAGCAAACGCCACTGTGAATCTAATGCAGTACAGGTAGGAGACGGGGGAGGGGGATTTCACAGAGTCCTACGGAAGACAAGCATCTTCAAGGCTCATTAGTCCTGCCAGCTGCCGGCTGTGCATGTGCCAGAGCCCTAACAGGGTCAGAAACGCTAAATTCTACTTCTGTGACCCCTGACCCCAAGACCTGTCATGGAGGGAAGCAGGCTACTGTGGAGGAAACAACAGAGTTTACATGTATCTATCTCAAACCCCCTGCAACCCCTGGTTCCCACGGGTCGCTCTGAAATACTGAACCCCTTTCCTTGGTTCCCACAGGTGGCTCTGAAATACTGAACCCCTTTCCTTGGTTCCCACAGGTAGCTCTGAAATACCGAACCCCTTTCCTTAGTTCCCACGGGTCGCTCTGAAATACTGAACCCCTTTCCTTGGTTCCCAGTGTTGCCAGACAGATGCATTCCGATCTCAGTGAGAAACTCACTAAGGTCCGAGACAAGACACCGAGCCGGTGCAGGTCCCCTTCACTGGCCTGTGTTTCATCTGTTTGTGAGGTGCTCCCTCAGTTCTTCTCTGGGGCGGGGGTATTGCTTCCTGCTGCACTGGGAAGGTTCCTGCAGGCCACAATAACCCTGCTGAGGCCTGCTGTCAGGCTGCCTGCAATATTGTGCACACTATGGACATGGTGTTTGTCATATCTATGAAGGTTTTCTTTTTGTCCCTTGGAGCCACATCCGGGGGCTCTGCAGTTCCCCCGGACTGTCCTACACTAACCTTCTTTCCTCCTAAACGTGGTAAGAACCCTTGCTAGCTAGTACGTGTTGTCAGAGTGGGACAGAAATTAACCCTAATGAATGATGCAAAAGACCGAAGATGCGGGTATTAATCCCTGGACTGGGGCGGAGGTCAACGGGAAAGGGCACGGATAAATTCAGAATACTGAATTTAAAGGCTTTGAACAATTAAAAAACATGCCTAGGTCTTTAAAGGGATTCGCCCGAGTTCAGTGACCATACTTTCTAAACACTGCTATCAACAACTGCCCAGGAAGTGCTTTAGGTACAAATTCCCAGACTTGGCGGTCTCACGCTTCTTTCTTCAATATTCCTCTGCTCGCCATTCTGCAACCACTCAGTCCTTCAGCCCCCTCATCCCAGCGGCATCCCTTTATCTGGACGAGACGCAACACTGCTCTCATTAACATTCTCTCCTGTAAACCACACTGATTTGTGTGAACAATCAGCTGAATAATGCTCACTGGACGGCTGGTCCCACACAGAACGGCCGAAAGATGCAACCCCTACATTTTAACACTAGTTTAATATCTCTAGAGCCACACAGAGTGTGATTCCTAGGCCGCCGTGTTTAACTGGACAGGTGTTTTTCCTTCAGCAGAATATGAAGTAACACCTTAAACTAGATGAAATACAAAACCATGCCTCTTTCATGTTCACAGCAATCCTTGGCTGCACTACCAGCGCCATTTTCCTCCGAGTGAGGAAGAACCACGAGGTCATGGTAGTTTTCCAAAATTTATGGTGCGAGCAAGTTTGGGGCATGATCTTAAACACAGGTAGCCAGCTCCCTGGAACACGGGGAGGGTCAGCACAGGCTGGTGTGCCCTCTGCCGAGGCGCTTGCTTTCCTCTACAACTCACTCAGACATTACAGGGGTCGGTACTTTGTCATCTGGGCTTCAGGTCATAAGCACGCTGTCTTTCATTGCTGCCCCTTAGTCTCTTCAACCTTTCCATATAAAGTCTCATATTAAACAAATAAGGGACTAGCAGGAGTATGAGAATCTATTTCTCATTTCTTAATATACTCAATTCTCTCCACAACTGCATTCACTTAAGGATGGTTTTTTTCCCCCTTTAGCCCAAGTGACAGGCACGCCTTCGCTCTGACCCTCCTTTGGACTCTGCTCACGGAGTCCTGGCTTCTCCACTCCTCCAGTGCTACGTCTTTCTTATAGCTGCTGCTTCTGACTTCTTCTGACACGCCTCGTCGGAATTCCTAGGTGTGAACTCGGATGGAAAAGTGGACCTACGTGCTGTGTCTCCTTGTCCTGGTTCTCTCTGAGTGCACAGCAGGCGGCTAGAGAGACGCCACCCCTCCCCTCATCCTCCATAAAAGGATCCCACACAAATTCTGAGCTCTGCATCTCTAACTTACCTACAAAGCCTACCTAGGTATCCCAATGGAAATCCAACACACCACTCCTAATTTGCCACCTGCACAAGCTTTATCCCCCACGACCGTGTCATGGTTGCACCAGTTCCCAGCCAGAGGTTCGGAGCCTAAGGTCATGCCTGGCATCTTTCTTGTAATTCCACAGCCAAGTCATGGCCAAGTCTTTGTTAGTTTGTCATTGCTGTTCCTTATCCATTTTATCGAAGATTAATCACCATATAAATGAAAGCTTAAAAAAATGTTGCATCCAGCACTACTGACCCCAATTCCAAACCTATGTCCAAGTTTATTCAGTGACAACCTGCTGCTTCTGCGTTCTGGCACAGGACAAGCCCCCAGAATGTTCATTTCAGTGTCTCTCCAGCACATCTCCAGCCTATCCCTCAGGGTCCAGTGGCAATGCCCGCCGAAGTCAGGCAGGTCGGCTCACTAGCGGGTAAGTCTGTGCTGCCCAATTTGATAGCCGCACAAGTTATCTGACATGAATAAAGGCCGTTCCTCAATCACATCATCACACTTGGTGCTGGACAGACACCTGTGGCTATGGCTCTGGGGGCTGGAGAGAGCACACCCGCACCACGGCAGGATTTCCACGGGACTGGGCTGCCACAGGATCGCTCAGCCTTGCTCATCCACTGTGCTCTGACCCATACAAGCCCCATGTAGTATTTCCTCTATCCCACAGGAGTCCTCCAGAGTTGTAAGACTGAATCCCAGACCGCTCAGGAACAATCCTTGCAGTGTTATTCAATGTTTTTCCTTCATTTTATGTGATTCTTCTCGTGAATTACCATAACTAAAAAAAAACTCATGGATGAATGAAGCATACACTAACTACAATACCACACCAAAAATCATCAAATATTATTTAAATATCCCTCTTCCATTAAAAAAGTTTTCCTTCAATCTAAAGAAATAAAAGACCTTTCATTTAACTAAATGAATAACTTGATTTAATGCCTAACTATAGCAGTTGGTAGATAATTAGCTGCCCGTTTTTTCTTGTGGCGTATGAAACTGAAAAAATAAAATAGCTGTGCAGGTCTGAAGTGTTTCTACTCGGTACAGGCATAAAGAAACCACAGGCAAGCAGAGGAAAAGTGAATAGTTAGACAAACTATATCATAAAACTATTTGAAATTTTAAGGAAAAATATAGCATGGGAGCTCCAAAATTAAGAAAAACTGTAAATAAAACATTCAAAAATTCAGTCTAAGTAAATGTTTCTAAATCAACAAGTAGCCCTTTTCTTTCTCTCCCAACCATGACCATGAACATTCTTTGACACCTTGGAGCTAAGAAACGTCTAGATGTTTAATTAATGGTTACGTGTGTTATGTGTTCTTTCCTTCAATGCAGGCGTGTCTCTAATAACAAAAATGAGAAGAGAATGAGGAAGAGGAGGAAGAAGAAGCCACCACAGATGTGTGCACTTCAAAGAGAAACACAGGCTTCTTTTCAGACACTTGGAACTATGCAGCGATAGATGCAGGAGAATCAACAGGCAAGGGCTCCGGGAGCCTGAGACGGCTGGTGCTTTCTTCTCAGGAGGGAATCCGTTCTCAAATTCTGCTTCCAGTTTATAATAAAAATTACAGAGCTGAGCTGCTACACTGTCCAAATATGGCAGTTCCCAGTGCCTCCTCCAAAATGATGTCGTCGCTGAGGTTGAACTGCGCTTCCCAAGGGAGGATAGTATCCCTTATGCAGATGAACACGGACACCCAAGACATCCTGCGCCTCTCTGCACACTCCAGCGAGGGCCTCCCACGCTGTTTGAGGACTAGCTGTGGGCCATCTCGGCACACGCCTCCATGAATGTTGGATCTGAAGTGGCCACAGTGTCATTAAATGAAGGGTTCGGATCTGAAGTGGTTACATATCGGCCTCTTAGCTCCACCACTTCCCCTAAGAGAAGCAATTGCAGAGTGAAGTGCTGAAAATACTTCATGGATTTTTGCGACAAATCAGATCACTGACGACCAGATTGGAGTATTTCCACTGCCAGATAATAGCCAAAAAGGAACACAGTGAGAAGACCACACTTCAGGAGAGATGTCCCTACCCATTACCAAAACACGTATCCTACAATCTTGGTGCCAAAATTACAAGACCACACATAGAAATACCAAGACATTTCGCCAATCTCAGGATTCCTTTGAATTAAATTTCCTCCATCCTTTTACAGCTAAATTACCCTTCTCTTCCCAGGCCTTTCCAACTCTCTCCTTGCTACCCACCTAACTCCATAAAGATTCCAACTTCAGCTTTTGGTGAGGGGGTGTTCCAGCCTAGAGAGTTTAGGATTTCTTAGTATGTCATAGATGTCTGATTTAATTTGAATTTTGGCCACCCATTTCTAATACAATCTCATTGATTAAATCAGACATGGGGTTTTTCTTTTCAATTTCTTGAATGAAAAAAATCAATTTTAATCCGTAAAAAGCAAACATTTCTCTATGGTTGTCAGATTTAATTGCTTCCTAGCTCAAAAAATTATTAGGTATAAAAACAGCAATATCATGCCCCCCCACACACAAATTTCTCTTTCTTCCCCTCCCCAAATGATGCAGGATGTGCTGAGCCCAATGCCTCAGGAACACTGTATGTACCAGGAAAAAACAAACAAATGAACCCTCAATACTCAAAGGATCTGGGTCTGGCTTTCTGTTTCAATCAGTTAGATAGGAAATACAACACAAGCCAAGTAACTTCTCTTGGCCTCAGATTGCCCAACCTGGTAGGAACCGATTGGATTAGGAACCTTCTAAAGCAATGCTTAACACCGAACATCTTCATTCTCTCTGACGCCCTTGACAAGACAGTCTCGAGAGCGGACGTCGCCTGAGCACACGAACTCACCACTACACAGCGTCATTCCTGGATAGGAAGACGGGAGTGAAAGATGCCAGAACCATGCTTCCATCAGATCTGCAAACAGCTCAGACCCTTCCTCCAAAAAAGCTAGAAGCAAGTAAGTTGTGAGGCTTTCTACAAAAGCTGACACCCATCCTTAAAAAAAAAAAAAAAGTCCCCAAAGAATTGGCAATGAAGCGTCCTTCACTCAGCTGCTGGGCTGGACCGCTCAGGGAAGCAGAGCGGTTCTGTCGTCGAGACAGGTAGACCAGACAGCCTCACCTTTCACCACCCCATCAGCTGGGAACTGATCACAGATACAGCAGGGGCAAGCGGCGGGAACTACGCAGAAAAGCAAGGTCACAACTGACTGGACTTGTAAATGTTGGACTGTCAAACTCGTCTTCAAGTCATGTGCTGCTTAGGTAAGGATGAAATTCAGTTTTTCTCTTTTAACCTGGGGTGACAGGAGGAAGCATCCCCCTTCCCCCCCCCCCCAAAAAAAAGCTTGACGCAGAATGAGTTTGTCTAAAGGCCTAAAATGTAAAAGCAGAGCCATGTCCATACGGACAAAGCAAGGCCTACCGGGTATTCCAAATCCCAGCTTAACTCAAGTCGTAGCCAAACATTAACTCAAAATCAAAGGCGTAATGTGAATCCAAGGTGTTTCTGGCAGGCTCATTGATGTCGGACTGGAACACACTGCAGCTTCGCCCTGTCCCTACCCCCCTGCCACACAGTAACACTGAGGGCCACACTTCTGCTCGGATTTGACACTATCATTTGCTATGGGCTGCCATGGGTTTTTGTTTCTTGCTATAGACACCAAATTTTCAGCTCTTACAGAACTGCAACGCCTTGGCACAACAAGACTCAGTGGGTAAGGGTGCCACTGCCAAGCCCAATGGCCTGTTTGGGTCCCGGGACCCATGAAGTGAAGGGGACACTCCAGAGGGTTGTCCCTATCCTTCAGAGGTTGGGCACCCACCACCTACACACACAAATGTTTTTTTGAACGTAACAGTTTGATTATGGAAAACAAAGACTTTCAATGTCTCCTAGAGGGCCACTCCTCGGCATGTATTAAATTAGTATCCCTGGAACGTGTGGTGTTAGAATGTTTGATTCTAGAAACCGATGATCTAGAGGCTGACTTGAGTGTGGCAAAACACTCAATGAATCTGACTTGGGATTAGGCTAGAATTTCTAATAACTTCTATTAACAGCCCTAAGCACACTTCCGCCACTCTACGCCACGTATTTAGGCTGAGTGGCGTTCTCAGCACTGACCATTATGAAAGTATCGATCTACTCTGAAAAATTCTAAAGAGGCTCCATGTCCCGTGCTACCAAATACCCAACCAATTTTAATGTAAAATAAACAAGCACATTCATCTTGTGATTAGTTAGAAAATTTAGTTTCCTCTTTAATAAGTGGTAAAAAAGTATATGTATACCAAATAATTCTCTTTAAATAAATTTAATTTTTTTAATATTTAATTTATTTAAGGAGGTGGAGGTCAGGCCTGGGGAAACTTAGGAGAGTCAGTTCTCTGCTTCTACCATGTAGGTTCTAGACTCACACTGCGGTCACCAGCCTTACTGACATGTCGAACCATCCTGCGGTCTCCGGTAGTGCACATCTCTTTAGGACCTGGTAGCAGTAAAGTATGTGGCTTGTAGACCTAGTTCATATACCCGTATACTCGGGCTCACAGATACATTCCTTGGGCAAGAAGGGAGTTCACGAAAACAGAGATCAAATAAATAGAAAACAAACAAAAAAGAGTTAAGACTGAGGCTCAGGGCGGAGTCAGGTCGCTTGGTTCATATTCCTGCTTAGACTGTAAATCACAGCATGTTAGTTGTGCAGCCTGAAGCAACAATGATCACTTCTGCCTCCGTTTCTTTACCTGTAAGATGGGGGTGGAGGGAAGTCCCAGGCTTAAATAATTTAAAACCGCTGGCACACAGTAGAAGAATAAGAAAAAAAACCGAGAATAATTTCTATGTACCTAGTACTCTCAATCATGAACACGAACGGCAAATACGATCTACTGAAAACAACCTCATCTCACCTGGTTTCTTCCCGTCACTTCCCAACGACTTGTCTGAAGAACGGAGGAAGATCCTAGGGTCACTCTTTAGATTCTAGAGTCTAGAACTTTCCGTGATGATAAAACTGTCCCATACACATTCAACGTGGCAGTCACATAAGGCTACTGGAAATGTGGGTGGTGCACACAACGTGGTATCTTAAATTATGATTATTATTTCTATTTCTACCTTATCGGACAGCACGTCTAAATTGAATATGTTTTATAAAAACTTAAGCAGAAGCAAGGATCCTCTCCAGAGTTGCTGTTATGTTTTCGGTGCGAACCTGGTAACTCTGACCTGTTAAGGCAATAACATGTTGACTCACATACCGATGCAGTGCAAGCTCAGAGCTAAGAAATGATCAGAAACAAAGTAAGTGATCCTCTGAAGGCCAAGTTAAATTCACACTGACGTAAGCAAGCTCTGACACCCAGATCAGAACTGCAAAGGTCGCCCCACCACCCAAAAAGCATCAACTGCAAAGCAGCTGCGTCTTCGATGAGACGCAACATCTCTGCCATTTACTTCGGCTCTTCTCTCCCTCAGAAATCGCAGTTCAGAATGCTTCTTCCGCTTTTAGAAACACTAGGGTCCTCCACCACCTCCCCTCTCCATTATAAACAAAATCTATGTACCACCCATATCTGAAGTAGAACGCCAGACTCCTGCTTAGCTGCCCCTGTAATATGGTTTAATTATGATGGCTGAACTAACAGGCTGACATCATAGACTTTTACAGGCTGACCCCATGTCATCCTGATGTATCATTTTGCACCAGTTCAGTGCTGTAAATCAATTTAAGATCTGCAGCAGGTTGAAAAGGCTGGTAATGACGCTCTCTCCGGCTCTCTGGAGACTCCGCATTATACACAACTTACATTATTTATAAAGTCTCCGCGATGCCTCCATTAGCCTTGTAAGACCACACAAATGAGATCTTTTATACACACACAACTTGGCCTTGATTATGTAGGCTACTGCAGCTTAAATATGCTCATCTAATTACATCAGGGTTTATTCTTCTTCCAATCTACCACATTGCTGCATTTTATCTTGCGGCCAATATCGTTGTAAATCAAGATTAAAAACCGAAATTTTGTTTTCAACTAGTATGTCTAGCTGGGAACCAAGATTTACTTCCTCTTAACGTTCACATGAACTCACCGGAAAAAGAATATAAATTCCAAGATGAACAAGAGGTTAGCATTTTTAATTGCCTATAAAAAAGCTGTCATTCCTCCAAAACGTAAAGCCATCATCTCCCCAAGGGCACAAAGCTAGAGATACTGTAAAGGAAGAATGGATTTGGTTACTACCTAAGATTGCAAGGGTCAAAACTAAACCAAGGACAAATCCTAGCCTCTGAAGAAACCTGATCTTCCTCGGGGGCCTCTCGAATCCCACCCCCAAATAATCATCTCTCAAGACTCGGGTTTACAGCTTCCTAAGAAATGCAAAATTACTCAAACGGCACACCACCTTCACAGAAATATTGTACAACTGAAAACAAGAAAAGTGGGGAAGGGGAGGCCAAACCCATTAAATCAGTACAACCTGTTAAGGCCTGGCACCTACATTATAGTAATACTGGTGCAAAAAAAAAATTATTTGCACCAATTGAAAACACCAAGGCAGTGAACACTGCCTCTGCCTCGACTCCTGTGAACTGTTCCAGCACAGCTCATCTGCTTCCGGTACAACTTAAAGTGGTAATTATAAACAAGATGAAAAATGAACCTGTCAGGGAACAGTTTTCTCATTGTGCTGAGGTGTGGGCACGTTATCCACCACAGGCCCTTGGAGTGAGAGATGTGAAGGGCAGGCTGTGATTTCGCTCCAGCAACAGGAAGACATTACACAAACCAAGCAACTCCCTTCAGTCCGTGCTCTAAAAACTTCAGATGTCACCCAGGAATCCAAGAGAAGGAGAAGAGACAGGCCGGGGGTGACAAGACAACACACACTCTATCACGATGCTCTTAGATGGTTGTGGCCCGGGCTGAGGTTTTCAGACGGAAAGCTCTTAGCTGGATTATCTTGCACCGTGCTTTTAGAGAAACTGCATGCGCCTCCGAATAAACAAAAGCCGCGACTACCATAGTATGGAGATGTGGTCCGTGATGGACCTCCTGGCTCCCCAAAGCACCTCGGGGAGACGCTGTCCCCCGCAGCCTTCGCAGGCAGTCCGCAGAGCGGCCGCCCAGGCCCGCGCTCTCACGCCCACCGCCCCCACCCCGCGACAGAAACACTAACAAAGACGGTCGGGACGAGAACAGTTGTTCCCGGCTCTCGGAACGCAATGAAGCAATCGAATCCGGTAAAGGGAAAGGAATGAGGCGACACTGGGCGACGCAGGGGGTGTAGGCGGAAGGGGGGGGGGGGAGACGCGAGGCCGCCAGACCTTTGAATAAATCAGAGGGAACTGTGCCGCGAACTTTCCTTAACCTCGACCCCCAAAACAGGCTGCTTGGGGACCCCGGGGGGCGCGCGACCCATCCAGGGAGACCGGAGCGGGGCGCAGCGCTGTCCAGGCGAGGGTCTGCAGGCCAGGGCGGGGACACAATGGGGCTGCGGCCCGAGGCGGAACGGGGTCCCCGGAGAGCTGGGCACGCCCGACAAAGACGCGGGGAGACAGGAGAGGAGGTCCGGCGGCAGGTTCGCGGCCGCAAGGCGCCATCATGGGGGGGGGGGGGGACACGTCCCGGAGCTCGTCCCAGATTCCCCCAGCGCGGGTCCCCGAGTCCGTCCCGGATCCTCCCCGGAACCCGTCCCAGATCGTCCCCTGGAGCCGGTCCCGGCTCCCCTCCCGGTGCCCGTCCCGGATCCCCCTGGAGCCGGTCCCTGTTCCGGTGCACCCCGCGCGGCGCAGGACAAGTCCCTCTCGAGTCAGCTCGGGTACACTCGGCTTTACCGGCTCGGCGGCGCGCCCATCAGCGGGGACGCACGAGACCGGGCGCCGGGTCCCGCGCTCCGCTCCGCTCCGCTCCCGGCCGCCGTCCCCGAGCCTTGGCCCTGGCCTCGCCGTGGTGCGCCCGCTCGCTCCCAGAGCCTGGATTGATCTGGTCGTGCTGGCGTCAGGCAGTCGGAACCGCCCAGCCTCCACAGCCCGCCTGCCAATACCCGGCTCACAACCCGCCCGCCGCTCGCCCTCGCTCACACGCGCACCGCGCGCGCCCGCTGCCGCCTAGGGATCCTCTCCAAATTCCCGGCCCGCGCCTGCTTCCGACTCTGCGGTCCCTGCCTAGTTGCCAGTCAAGTTCCAAAGCCTGGGTTTGTTTTCGGAAATGTTCTCGAACACGACCACCGAGCCCACCCAATCGTCCTACAAACAGCTTTAATTTGCCCTACAATCACTGGTCCAATGATTTACAGGCCCTCCAAGTAGCATGTGCCCCAAATTGAGTGACCTGTTGACTACTGCTATGGCTTGCACCAACATCACATAGGTAGATGCATTTGTTTCTACTATGTACTCTAGCTGCGTCAAATGACAGAAGCCATTTGTCTGTTCCATACAAGGTCTCTTGTAGCCCAGAATGACCTCGAACTCGTTTTGTTGGGGGAAAAGACCTTGAACTTCTGCGCCTCATCCTTAGTGCTGTGTTACCATATGTTTTTATTTATAAGGTCTGGGAATCGGACCCATGGCCTCGTGCAGGCTAAGCAAGCACTTCACAGCTGAGCCTCACCCCAGCCCTTTTGTTTATTGCTTGCCTGCTGGCCTGTTTTGCTACAGGGTTTCTCTGTAGAGCCCAGGCTGGCCTTGAACTGGGAAATAGCCTTTCGGTGCTGTAAATTTTTGGTCAGTTTTGTAGATGACATAGATGCTCCCCCCAAACAGCAATAACACAAATGAGCTCACATCTTCCTGATCTGTTCAGGCACCAAAAAGACCTTCCTCGAATAATCAACTTTTCTCTTGGTCAGTTTCTGGAAGCTGGCATGAAATCTTGGACAATTATCATAATGTCGAGTTATGTTCGGAGAACTATTCTAGGAGTAAATGCCCCGCAAACCAAAAAAAAAGAAAAAAATCATTACCAGCAATATAAAGAAAATACCAAAGGCCACTACAAATTAATGATTCTCTCCAATTATTCCTGTACCTTTACATGCCTAGTATTCCACTTAAAATTCTTATTAATTATTTAAGTATTATATCTGTATTCCATATTTAATTATTCAAAGGAAATGCAACAAATCTCATAAACCCATAAAATGCCATTTATAAATTATACATAAGAATATTTCTGCTAATTAAATTTCTTTCTTCATTAAACTATTTGAGCACTTACTGGTCAATTCTTGGATCTCATCTTATTTTCCTTAAAAGCAGCATTGGACATAGTTGGTTGTTCTCTGGTCCCTTGTGCAACAGCTGGAGTGAGCCTGGTTAAATGCCACTCAGAGCCATTCCCCTGCCTTCTACTGAAGCTCTTTTGACGAAAACAATGAGGTCTATCCATACACAGGAACATCATTTAGACCCGGAAAACGAATGGCGTACTGCTATTTCCTCTGCAGACAGACCACAAGCCTGGGTTAGAACCCAAGCACTACATGATCCAGGTGTGACAGTGCTCCCTGATCTCGCAGCAAGGTGACCAACAGCTCAGACAGTGCTCCCTGATCTCGCAGCAAGGTGATCAACAACCCAAGGTTGCCCTTGCCTGGATAGTAACTTCAAGGCCACCTGCGTCTGCTTGAGACCATCCCAAAAACAAAATAAAAGCAACCAAAAAACAAGGCATTCTATCAAATGAATAAGGAAAGACCATATTTTATTTGCTTCATTCATGTGAGCTGTTCATAGTAGACAAATCCATAGGGACAGGAAGTTGCCTGGGATTGGGTGTTGGGGTGCAGGATTGAAGGACCTGAGGTGATCACTAAAAGTTACAGGGTGGTAAAAGGATTCTAAAATAATAAAATCTGATAGTTATGCAACTGTATAAGCCATAGAATTTTATATTTTGAATGACTGTGCTATATGACCATGAATTTTATCCTGATAAAACTGTTTAAAAAAAAAAGGCAACTAAAGGCAGTACATGTTCTTGATTAAATCATAAGGGGAGGTCTGGAGAGATGGCTCCGCAGTTAAGAGCACTGACTGCTTTTCCAGAGGACCTGGGTTCAATTCCTAGCACCCACATGGCAGCTCAAAACTGTAACTCCAGTTCCAGGAGATCCAGCACCCTCTTCCAGCCTCCAAGTGTACCAGACATGCGCATGACACACAGATACACATGCCAGCAAAACACCCATACACATATAATAAAAATAAATTTAAAAAATTTTAAAAGGGAGATATACAGTGGCATAATATAACTGTTTGTTAAAGTAATTTATAAAACTACAGATAGCTTTTCTTAGTGTAGTCCTGGTATCCCTAAATGATAATTATGAATATTATATGCACTATAAATTTTTATTTGACCCCGTACAAGTTATTTTTAAGTGGTAATAAAAATTTGGATACTCTTTGAAAAAGGGCATTTTTGAGAAAGTTGTAAATTCTGGCTAACCTCATATTAAAGTCTTTTGAACAAAACTTGAATTCCCATTTCACTCAGAATAAAGTTCAGACCATGCGCAGAGGCCATGTGTGGTCTGCCTTCCCCACCATCCTTTCTACTCCAAACTACTTTGTATCTTTCGCTCTCTCCCTCCAGTCATCCTGACCACCTCCGTCTCCAGATGGACAGGACTCCACCTAAGCTTTAAGGAATTGTCATTACCTCCCTAGAAGGCCCTCCCGAGAGTGACTCGAAGCTGTCTCCACCACACTCACAGCATGTACACGTCTCATGAGACCCCCTGCTCAGTGCCTGGCTCTCCTGCTTCCCCCCAACTCCAGACTCACAGGTTCTCTTTCTGTTATCATGGTCTGCATCTGTCGTAGCTAACCAGAGACGGTGACTTGGGCTCACAGTTTGGTTTGCTTGTTTGCTGTGCTAGCTTCCATACTCGATGCCATCAGAACCTAGCTTCTTTGGCCTTCCAATGTGGACTGAAAACCTCGCTTTCCAGGTAGGTCTTCAGCAGCACACTGAGATGACTGAGGAATCCAGCCGCGAATGCGCAGGGAGAAACAAGGCCAGGAGGGAGGCAGAGAGGCTCGGATGCACCCAAACTGGTAGCTGCAGGGATGTGAGCCCCAGGGAGGTCTCTTGCTGCTTTCTGTTCTCTATGAACGACCTCAGGACTCGGTCCTGAGAATGCACAGCCAGGAAGCTAGAGGGTAGAAGAGAGAAGGGTTCTGAATGAGAGTCAGGAGGCATAGGCCGTACGGCAGTGCGGAGGGGATGCCAGGCCGCACTGCTAAGTACCCATTTGAGGTTAGCAATCAAAACTTTGAAGCAAACCCAGTCAGCCAGGTTCACTTGACCAAAGGAGGCTGAGCTGGGCTTCGCTACAGCTGGGGCTTGGCTGTGTGGTGGAGAGAATAAAAGAGCACTAGGCACCAGGAGGCACAGACGGGGGAGTGGCCACAGGCGCTGCAGAGATCACGCGATGTGGAGAAGACGGTAGGATCAGCGAATTGGCAGTGTCCAGTGGGCTCACGAATTTCCAGATTTGAGGGGTATTTCCAAAGCTGGAGAGCAGTTTGAGAAAGGGGTGCTTGAGAATCACAGCGGATAGAGCTTTCTAAGTATGGGGGCACAGGACTGAACCCTGAAAGGCTTGGTCTCAGTCTCAAAGCATCCCCCATGAAGGCAGCCACTTCCGCATCTTTAGATGACCCCAGAATCTATTTGACTAGGGTTTGTGACGAGGCTGATGGAGACAGCTACTGACTTGGAGCATGCTGGTTGCCTTCTATTGTCCCGGGCCCTTTACCCAGTTATCGACTCCTTAGTTCCTCAAAACAACACAGTCAGGAGCGGGAGAGTTGGCTCGGCAGTTAAGAGTACAGAGTACCCTTGCAGAGGATCTGAGTTTGGCTCCCCACCCACCTGAGTAGCTTATAGCTTCCTGTAACTCCAGCTCTAGGGGATCTGATGTCCTCTTCTGGCCTCCACAGGCAGCTACATGCAAGTGTCCGTCCTCTCCCACCTACATATACTTACTTAACAATAAAAAGAAATCTTTTTTAGTATGGATGACATTATTTCTATTTTGCAGATGAGGAGCTAAGGTGCCAACTGCTAAGTGACGTGCTGCTGGTTAAACAAGCGTGTTGATGTCTCTCTGGTACTCACCATGGCCTCTACCTGTAGCAGATACAGGGAGGCCATGTTCTTTTCCCCAAATATTCACAGTGCTGTGCTAAGAACAGTTTCTGTCTCTAAGCTAAGAGTTTTAGGCAAACTCACATCAAAGGAACAATGAATTTTTGAAAGTAACAGTATTAATTTTTTTAAAAAAATTTCCAATAGTTTTGCTTTCAGTAGCAATCTCCTTTTGGTTTGTTTGTATCCATTGAGCCACCCGAAGAATGACTGTGTTTGCTTTAACACAAAAGCTAAATAAGCCCTGGCTTAAAGAAGACCCCGGGGAGGAATTCAGGGACATTACAGTCCTCTGCCATTTTTGTGGCTTTTCCTTCATGGCTAGTTACAAAATGGCTCTGAAAATGAGGTGACCTAGCCTACAACTGCTTTAAGCAAGACACTGCTAACCCTTGGTGACTGTCACCACTCCGACAAGCTCTGCTCGCACTCACTGATGACAGGTCCCCTATCTGCACGCAAGGCTGGAGAATGTCCTTTCTAATCTGTCTACCTTGTCCCTGTGAGGAAAAGGTGAAGGATGAAGGCAGCAAGCCCGGATGGCCAGCACAGGCTCATGGGCCCTGAAGGACTATGGGGAAGGGATGGTGCGTGTGATGGTGCGTGTGACGCGCATGCGTGTCCATACGCGGTTCCTGGAAACCCGCTGCTGGATGGCTTTGTCACTCCTGGCCTTGTGCTTTGAGTCAGATATCTCACTGAGCCTGGAGCTCAGCATTTCAGCTGGGTGGGCTGGCCACGAGCTCTTGGGATCCACCTGACTCTGCACCCCACCCCCACCCGAGTGCTGTGGGTACTTGCATGTCCAGCCATGTCCTTCTTTAAACAGATGCTGGACTTCAAACTCGTGTCCTCTTGTTCAGTAAGCACCCTTACCCACCAGTGCGTATCCCTGGGCCCGGTTTTCGAGTTCTTTGCAAAAGTATTTAACGCATGAGTGTGGAAGTTGCTCGTGGTGGGAGTGTCGGCAACAACCGCAACAAAACTGGGCGAACACCAAGAGCCAAGGCCTTCCCTCTCCCTGCGGAAAGTCAGCTGTTAAACATTTACCAGCACGCCAGAGTCGGCAAGCAACCAGAACTTCCTGCTGCAAGAGGCCTTTCCCCTTCCTTGCCTTCATCAGTTATTTCTGACTCACGAGTCAAATTTATTAATGATTAAGCAGGTAAACTTTGAAGCGTTCACCATAATAACTCCACTTCTTCCTTACATAGTGGTTCTAGGCCCATCCATTCATAATGGCTCCTGTTCTTCCCTGGGAGAGTGTGCAGCATTCTTTGCAGGTAGGCTGGAAGTGCCATAAAGCTGTTGGTGTTTCTGTTCAAATCCTTTAAAGGGTTTTATTTTAAAATATCCTGAAATATTAGTCTAGTAAGATTCAGACATGTTCAGCAATGGCTTTGGTTTTATATTGCGGCCATCACTAAGACAGCTCGCTTTTCTAAGTGAAGGACGATCACTGGCCTTCACCCTAGCACTCAGGAGGCAGGGCAGGCAGAGCTCTGAAAGCTCTAGGCCAGCATTGTCTATATATCAAGTTCAAGACCAACCAGAGCTACACAGTGAGACCCTGTCACAAAGCAATCTGAAAAGTTGTAGAGTGCTGTTGTTTCATCTTGGTAATAAGAAAAACAGATTGGCTTGCTGTTGCTGCTTGGGGGGGGGGGGGACTTTGCTTTCTGGTACCAGGCAAGTTACTCTTCAGGGCTAAGGCATTCAGGGAGTTCCTGCTCAGGGCCTCTGGGCCCCATATTGTACATACATGGTGTCTCTACCTCTGGGAGTAACCAAGGGCAACAGCAATAGCCTACCATGTTTGGGGAGTCTGTTGGACAATCTTGACCAAAAATTCAAAAGGGGACTTCCAGCGCCTGATGTTGGGGTATTTGATAGATGGTCTAATAGCTCTTGGTGGGAACAGTTTCAGCACAGATGGGAATATTTCGTTTAAACTGTACATGTGTGTCTATACACTGACTTACACGTAGCATCAGTATTTTTAGCTAGATAGTTAATAGTTTGGCTCCTCACGACTTTTTCGGGCATCCTTACCGTCATTTTACCCCACCTCCGCCCCGACTCTAGTTAGAGCTCCACTCTGGTGTTCCTGCTTTCCACTTCAAGCTATGTGTGCCCTGCTACCCCTGTTGCCCCCTTAGCCCCTGCGATGTTCCCCCAACTGCCCTCCTAGCCCCCACAGTGGCCCATGTTTACCTTCCTGGTTTCTGGAGTTATTCCAGGTTGAAAATGTGAAGTTTAACGTGAGGCTTCACAGCTTCCATTCCAAATGCCGATTCTAACTGTTAATTTTGGTGCACGGTATTATTATTCGCAGGGTTTTTATAATAAAATGTATTTTTAAAAAGCAAGCATACATACATTCATTTGCTTTCCTAAGTATGAAGTCAAATTGGAAAGCAAAGGCAAAAGTCTAAGTGAGACCATCACCTACGTGCACCTCTAGTCAGCGGAGCTCCATCACCAGCAGGCAGCTAGCTCCCTGGCCATAGTGTAGAGGCAGACAGACAGATCACATCCTGTGTGGTTGGAACAGCGTGACCTCCCTCACAGGACACTTTCCTTCTCTTGGCTTCCTCCAGGATTTCCCACTGAGTGCCTCACCTAGGTGAAGACTAGCACTGGCTAGCACCGGCTAGCACCGGCTAGCACAGGCTACCACTGCACTTTTCCATCTGAGGCAAACTTAGCTGGTTAGTTTAGTTGTGTTTTTCCCAAGTGAGCCGAGGGATGAACTCTCTAAAGTTTGAATGTTAGAAGCTCAAATTTTAAATTTATTATAGTTGTATCACCACAATAGCCATCGATATTAAATTAAAGAAAGAATAGATGGGGAAGTTATTATACAAGAGAGAGAAAACGGTTTCTCTAGTGGGCATTTGCTGGATCCCTGCTGCATGCTGAGCACAGCTCGTGGCCGCGGACTGTCTGTGATATACAGAAGCTTCTGTTTGGACTACCAGACATGTCATCACTGGGGACACATGAGCAAAGGACATAGCTTAAGACGTGGTCATTTAAGTGTCAAGAAAAATCACCGTGAGTAATAGGGATGTCAGGGGCTAGATGGGTCTGTTTTAGCAGGTGTTGGGAAAGGCTTCCCTGAGGCCTCTGAGCTGAGGTGGGAACAATGCAGCTCCTGAACAAGCTATGGAGCCTGTCTGAGCCCTCACCAGGACTTCAGACTTATTCTAAGTGTGATGGACGTTATTACAGCATGCAAGGAAGGACTGGAGTTACTGCTCCGGGATCCTTAATAGAAAACTAAGAACTACCTAAACATTGGATTGCCCCCCAAAACCCATGGCTGTTAAAGTTGAATTTCTTATGTAAAGCCACAAGAGAGACCATAGATGGCCAGGCTACCACAGAGAGCAGCGGCCGCACTTCCTAGTTCCTTCTGTCATAAGGACGGTCAAATACTGACAGATGTAAGGGAGGGAAGGTTGGTGCTGTTAACCATTTGATGGTGCCGTCCATGAAGGTGAGGAAGGTCTGGCAGCCAGAGTGTGAGACAGCTGGTCATGTGACATCTGCAAAGGGGAAGCCCAGAGACATGATGGTGGTGCTCAGCTCCCACTCTCCTGCTCACTCAGTCACTGACACCTGCCGTGGGATGGTGCCACCCACACTCAAGGTGCCCTCCTCAGCTAACCCAATCCAGGAACACTGGAAGTTATGTCCCACGTCCACAATCAGTGTTAGCCATCCACTCAGGTAGGCCAGTGCTTGGTGGTTACAAACAGCAAACGCTTTTGGTGGGGGCTGGTGAGACCGGTGGATTCAAACAGCAGGATCAAAACAGTCGGACACTGTGGGTGAATTAATGAGAACCTCAGCTGGACTGGAGTTAGGTGAGCGGAAGTCTTCTCATGGTACCCTGTGAATTTCAGGAAAGACCATTTTTCTTATTTTTATTATTATTTAAGGTGCTCCCATGCTGTGGCAAGTGTGTGAAGGTCAGAGATCGAGGCACTGGAGTCTGTTCTCTCCGTCCAAGTAGGTTCTTCCCAAGGTCAAAGTCAGGTCATTAAACGCCAGTAAACACTTTTATCCACTGAGCCATCTCACCGCCCCGGGAAAGGTGACTTTTGAGAGTTTGCTCATCTCACATTCCCAGCCATTCTTCCCACATCTAAAAAAAATGGAGAATAAACAATAAACGTGACGACTCCAATATCTTCCATAATAAATATACAAACATAAAACATTATAGTAAAATAACCGTGTGCCTTGAGACTCCCATTTACTTTCTGCTGTCCGTTTCCCACCTGCACACTCTTGTGTGACAAGGCTTTTCCTGGGGAGACACAACACACACATCTATTCATCCCAGTCAGGGATCCCACTACAAACCTAGTACAGATATCACCAAAGTCCGACTTGGTGAGCGAGTGAGTTTTGATAGGGTTAATTACATGAGGAAATAGTTCAATGACAGCCGTATGACAACAGCCCACCCCAGCATGACCGGTGACTCACAGAGCTGGGAACCTGGAGCACATTGCACAGCCTGCAGGCACCTCTGCAGCTTGGGGAGCATTCTCTCCAGCTCCTCAGTTGGTCTAAACCTCTTCCAGGTAGCTGGCCTGGTTTCTGCATCTTCCAGGCAGCTGGTCTAGTCTCAGAGTCTTCTTGGCATCTCTGTCTGAGAGTAACAGTAGGCTTTTATTGCTTACTCTGGCAGGGAGGGACCTAGTGAATCTGCTCGGTTCCAGGGACTTCCTGAAGCTGTTTTGAGTTGTTTGCTTTCCTGCCTAAGAAGCTGCCTGCAGGATGGAATGTTTCAATCTCTGAGGGCGCTTCCATATCACACATGCAAGTGTATAGCCACTCCACACACGCCACGTGCCCTTCCCCCCATGACAAACTGCATCCCTCTTACACTGCGAGTCCAGACAGACCCTTCCTTCCTCCAGTGGCTCCTGTCACAGTGAGGAAACTACGGACAGCATCCCGTTTCCTCGCCACTGTGCTTCACCGAGCATCTGTCTGTGCCATGCCTCTGCACCTCTCTTGCTGAGCCAGGCGCTGCAGTCTGCTGGGCAGACTCTGTGTATAGTTTGTCCTTGGCTAAAATGTCCCAGGTCTTCATATTGCCAAAGTTGAACGCATACTTTTCAGTCCTCCTTTTGTTGAATGGCCCAGATTCACTATGCATTAATCATTCTTTCTCAGTCAGAAAGTTTGGCTTTTTTAAAACACTGGAACTAACTCATCCGTGCATCCCTAGAGGACTAGTTAACAAATGGAATATTAAAGCAATTAAAATTGCTTCTTTATGCTACAGGGCATAGCAAGTGAAGAAAGTAAAGTAGAAAAAAGAATGTGTGTGTTATGATGTTGTCTCTAGAAGACGGAGGGTCGGAGTTGAAGAGATGGCTCAGTGGCTAGGAGTGGAGTGCTGGCTGTTCCTTCACAGGCCCCAAGTTCCACTCTCAGCTCCCATGTTGGGCAGCTCACAACAGTCTATAACTCCAGCTCTCTAGGGAGTCTGATCCTGGTCTTCTGACCTCTGTTGTTACACACATGCATGCACAGATATACACACAAATAAAATAAATCTTTTAGAAAGCTTGTGGCCTGTGAGGATATAAACGTTTGCTCCCAATTAAAAGGATAGTGAGAGGATAAACCAAAACATATTTAAAAGTTGCACAGATTTGAAAAAGAGAGAAATACAACAGAAACTGGCCTTTTCTGACTATAACATGTTCTGCGAATTTAACACTGAACCATATTCATATTTTACATAATTACAAAGCAAAAGTATTCTTCTGAAGAAGTAAAAATTGAAAAATGAAACAAGTCAGCCTGTGATTGCAGCCTGTGACACTGAGGGGTTATGTTAAGTGTCTTATGAAAATAGAGTCTCCTTGCTAGACACGGAGCCATACTCTCAGTCCCACCACTTGGGAGGCAGAGGCCGGAAGATCTCTGTGAGTCTGAGGCTAACCTGATTTACACATAAAGTTCCAGGACAGACAAGGTCATGAGACCATGTCTCACAAAACAAAAAACAAGAAACAACAAAAAATATAGTCACCTAGTTTAAATCTTAAGTAGGACATAATCTAGCGACAAAGAGAACTGAAAAAGAAAGCAAAAGAAAGAAAGCAAGAAAGACTATTTCCCACAGTCATGTCATTAATAATACTTGACATTTTGAATTTTAAATTGTAATAAAATATAAGACAAAACTAATTATTTTAACATTGTTACAAACCATGGTTGGGACCTTTCCAAGACTCTGGAGCCAGATGAG